AGAAATATAAAATATAAAAAAAAAGATTATCGTAGCTTCGTAACTCTGTCAATAACTTTCATAATAAACTGTTAAAGACAGACTTTTGTTTTCCTGTTTCAATCTTCTTTTTTTTTTCTTTTTTTTTTCACTCAACATTCATGGTGAATCCTTGAGTACAATCAAAGAACATGGTATAAAAGTTTGTTTCGACACACTTCTCTCCCCCGGTAGTTCGTGACTCTAATGTTTGAGGTTTGATTCATCTGGGCGGGTATTGTGCGGATAGCCATGATGTAATTTAGCGTTTAAGATAAAAGAATAGACAATTGGACAAACAATTCGTTTAATTTGAAACCAGTCAAAAAATAGTTAAAGCTCAATTCATTTTACCGATCACGTGACAACTGCATGCTATAGCAGTACTTTTACCAGCAAAAAACGTTTTCTGAGAACAACAAACAATAACAACAACAGATCCGTGTTCTCAACTACAGTTAATCGGCTTAATTTAGCTGATTTTTTTGAACCATCATCTGTTCCAGATTAGAAAGGTATAGTTAGGCTTAAAGCATTATCATATTATTTATTGTATAAATACGACCTTAATTAGTGGGTTATGCTTAAAGTATTATAATATTAGTTACTGTACAAATACGACATTTTTTGAGGGGAGGGAATTATGCTTTGAAAATGTTATCATAGCATTTACCGTACTAAAACAACCTTTTGTTATTGGGTTATATTTTAAAATGTTATCATATTAGTTATCAAATAAACACACACACGCAACTATTACAAACAATATCGCCTTCAATGCACTGTATGTTGGTTCCCTCATTTTACCAACTTACTTTGTTTATTATTTCGGGAATAGACCCATTAAGCCAATGGTTGTTACGGACTTTAATCCAATTAGAATCCAGATTCACATCATTCAGGTGACCATTACCAGTTTTTGGCAGTGGATTTATTTCCACTTCTTCTAGACTAGTTTCGCGCTGCTCTTCGTGGATGAATGGTCCTTTGGGAAGACACTTTTCTCTGTAATAGGCAACGTGCAACGAGTTAGGATCATTCAAATTTACAGTGCTTACAGCCTCTGCTTCTACGTCATCATCCACGTGAAATATGGGATTATCCTTTCCAACAAGGCGAGGCTGAGGCTGGAGTTGTTCTGAAGGTTTCCTAGCTAGCTGGACATTGCCCACGTAACCGGTCAATTTACTGGTCGGAGGATGGTCAGTTGTGATTGTGGTGGCTGGAAGACGTTCACGGTTTCGTTTTCTAGGGAGTAAAATATAAATCCGTATGACAGTAAAATGCTCATTATCTCTGAACGATAGTCAATCTGATCTGTATTAACTTCTATAAATTCTCCAAAAATACAAATCAAAATATTAATATATATATATATATATATATAATAATAATTGATGGTGATAAATTAATAATAAATATTTGAAGACAATGCAATTTTTCTTCGATAGAGAATGTTTCATGAACTTTCACTACCCTGGTTTGGTGTTGAGAGAAATTAGACTTTATGGCGTATAAATGATTAAACACAGAACCTTAAAACGCCATCTTGAGATCAAACCAACGCGGAGAAGTCTATGAAACAGAGGCCTCTACAAAGCTGACATTGGAAGAGGCAACATGATATAGAAGGTCCTTCTAAGGAACGGATGATACTGCAATTAAATGAGCAACCAACTAGAAAGGAAAGGAGTAACTATGGAAATACACATTACTAAGGAAAAACAATACTTAACCTTTAGAAGTCGATGTTATATCTTAAACTTGTTTGTTTGTTTTTGAATTTCGCGCAAAGCTACACGGGGGCTATCTGCGCTAGCCGTCCCTAATTTAGCAGTGTAAGACTAGAGGGAAGGCAGCTAGTCATCACCACCCACCGCCAACTTTTGGGCTACTCTTTTACCAACGAATAGTGGGATTGACCGTCACATTATAACGCCCCCACGGCTAAAAGGGCGAGCATGTTTGGTGGGACGGGGATTCGAGCCCACGACCCTCAGATTGTGAGTCGAGCGCCTTATCCACCTGGCCATGCCGGGCCACCTTAAACCTATATGATTTGGGGGAGGGGGGTTGGGCGATAACAGAGAATAGTGAATCAACCTTATTTGTAGAGTAACGAAAAATAAAATCATATAGAAAAAATATAACAGATATTTGTATACAAACCTTCTTAGTATATAGATGGTGAGACTAACAATCACAACAAATAGAGAGGCCAACAACACGCTGAACACAACCATTAACACAAAAGGATTATGTTTTCCATTACTCTTCATCACATGCCCTTGCAACAGCTCTTCAGGAAACTGAACGGTCACGGGAACACTGGTTTGGCGCGGAGGGATACCGTTGTCCGTAGCAACCACAAACACATGACAGACACTGGTGTTTAGAAACTCCAAGTTCAGAATCCGAATTTCTCCTTGATTGGACACAGTGAATAACCTAGAAAAAAGAGAATAATCCAATTTAATATTACAATTTTCTATATATCCAATTAATTGTGATGGATCCAGAGGGGACACGTACCCCCTCCATGAATGGAGGAGGAAGAAAAACCGATAAAGAGTTGTGGTGTTGATTTTGTAATTTCAAACATTTATTTACAATCCTACTCATATTTTTTGTATACTCAGGTCATATATGTATAGCTCAAAAGAAAATGACAATTTTAATTTTAGGGTAATTTCAGCGTCAAAACCATTATTCACAGACATGTTGACAAAACATCTTCGCAAAATGAAAATGAATGTGAATTCCTAGTTTCAAGGAGGACCTCAGAGCGTGGATTATCAGATGGAACATGTCTATCAGTGTTACAAATGTTACAGGAAAACCTCACCGGTTTTAAACAACGCTCTTTCCCAAACATATACTAAATTCTCTGTGTTACCTTGTAATCGTCTGCTACCGGTGAACCTTGTAATCGTCTGCTACCGGTGCAGGAACGTATGCTGATCAGAACACTGAGAAGGAATACAAGGGGTCAAGTTGCATTCTTAATCCTAGTTATTCGCAGAGAAATCCACTTGGACCATACGATAGTGATTAATAAATACACCAACAAAGGTCTCAGGAGAAGACTGCTTGTCAACCCGGTATGAGATGTGCCACAAGAACTAATAGATGATGTGTCACAAGAAGTAATAGATGATGTGCCACAAGAACTAATAGATGATGTGCCACAAGAACTAATAGATGATGTGTCACAAGAACTAATAGATGACGTGTCACAAGAACTAATAGATGATGTGCCACAAGAACTAATAGATGATATGTCGCAAGAACTAATAGATGACGTGTCACAAGAACTAATAGATGATGTGCCACAAGAACTAATAGATGATGTGTCACAAGAACTAATAGATGATGTGTCACAAGAACTAATAGATGATATGCCACAAGAACTAATATATGATGTGTCACAAGAACTAATAGATGATATG